TTCCTAGCTATAGCATGTAATCAGAAGAGAGCCAAGGTGGTGTAGTTCAATTTATTTATTCAATTATATTTTTATCCTGTCCAACTAGTGGCAATGCTACTACAGGCAGTGTAGCGGTTAGAGACTCAACAAAAACTGGGTTCAAATTGCCACCGGGCCATGTAACTCACTAGGTGATGTTGGACTGTTCATACTCTCTTAGACTGACTTCACAGAATTGCTCTGAAGATAAAGCAAGGAGGAGGAGAGCCATGAATGCCACTTTGAGCTTACTGGAGAAACGGCAGGGTATGGGTGTAAGAAATAAATAGGAGAAATAAAGACACGGGCAGTACAGTACAGTCTTAACTCAGAGCTGCACTTTTTACAGTGGGTCTGGAAGGGGCAGAAGCCTATTGTGCTAGCAATTGGCTGGGAAGAAGAAACCCCTTCTGCTGGCTATTGTCGAGGATCTGCCAGGCTATGATCAGCCAACCTATTGTGCTAGCAATTGGCTGGGAAGAAACCTCTTCTGCTGGCTATTGTCCAGGATCTGCCAGGCTATGATCAGCCAGCAGAAGAGCCAAAATAGGGTTAGAGAAGGATGAGAAAGGAGCTGAGTTGTGCCAGATCCAAACCTCCACTAGCTCAGGGACGTAGTTGCTACGGCAGCACAAATTTAGGCCAAGTAAATTCTAATACTGCAAAATTAAGAGATGTTGGGATTCAGCACAGCCTTAGTTGTTCCGGGTCTTAGACATCTTGACGAGTTAGGATTGTGCCCTACATCGGCAGCATATGGCTTTCCATGTCTCCAAATGTTAACACGGTCACACACATAGCTCTGTCTTCATTTATGCAGAAGCAGGCATTATGGCTACTGAATTGTTAAAACAAAGTCCTTTGAACTAATGTAAATGACATATTGACTCCAATACAAAAATTATTATTTGTAGATAGCTTTGTATGCATCTTATACTACATGCACACTTAATTGCATGCAAAGACAGTCTTCTTCTTACGCCTTCTTACACCTTCTGTGCATGCATTGATCTGGCACTTATAGCACACTCATATATGCTGGGAGGGTAAACTCCAAAGGCCTTATCATAGTTTAAATCTTGATGCAGTGAAAGATCACATGTTGAGCTGTTTTTGTCCCAGGTGAACCTGACAGTATTTCTGCCACCTCCCTAAAAATACATGTCTTTCCTTGCAGCGTGCCTTTTGGTTGCTCATTCAGGTTTTTCTGACCTGAGGGAGATGTGAAACTATTTGGTTAATTTGAGGAGTGTTCCCAACTCAAGCAATTATTGCTAGTGATATAGCTATGGTGATATAATCTTCCTGCTCTGTGCTGAGGGAGTTATTACACTGTTCATTTTGCACCGGAGACATCACAAAAGTATTTGGGGTAGTTTTTCCATTCTTCAGTGGGAGTGGGAGTGCTCTGCTAAGCATTTGTTTATTTACAACATTTATATTCTGCTTTATAGCTGGAAAGAATCTCAAGGAGAGCGTTTTGCATATCATCTTTAAAAATAAACAGAAAAATGCAAAGACAGGTTAGCTTCTGCCCTCAGTTTTACAATTAACTAAAGACAAATTGATTGGGAACAGGAAGGAAAAAACAAGAAACACAAATACAAGCTCTTCATGTTATGCCTTCTTTTTCAGCCTGATCGAATGATTGATGGATGACAGACAGGGACAGCCATAGCCCAGTGAAGCTAGGGGGAAATAAGGACCAGTCAGTGCCCCACTCTAGGGTTTAGTCAGTGCTGATCAATCAAAACAGCACATAACCAACATAATTTTAACATAGCAGCTATCTCAGGAAAAGTAAAATGAGTGGATGCTTGCATACTGCCATACATGGTGCAGAGATGTCCCTCACCCCTTAAGGGTTGCCAGATCAACAGCATCCTGTTTCCTAATACAGTATTTTAGACCAGGGGCAGGCCTTGTGATGATGTTGCAGGGATGGGGCAATGAAGGGTTGGGAGAGGAACCAGAACAGCTTCTGGGCTCTCTGATTGTACAAGCAAGCATAAGAGGAAATCTGGCTAAAAGGGCCAAGAAACTCAATAAAACCTGGCTAAGCAAGTACTATGGCAACCTGGAAAAACAGCATTTTTTGGCTGTCAGGAGTCAGCAATATGCATTCAACAGGTGTGTGTTTTTCTCCTCAGACTTGTGTAGCAAAAAGTCCATGAGTCATGGACCTGATGCTTCACACTCAGTTTTGCTCAACATGGCATGGTGGGCCTAAGGTCATGTACCCTTTGTAGGTATGTGGTGTGGCTTAGTCAGCCCTTAAGAGTTCTCAAATATCAGAGCTGGATTCATTGTTAGTGTAAAGTAATCACACTTTATAACTACAGTATTGCCAATTTGGATATTGTGTAAAAAAACCTGTCTGGTGACCATCAAGAAGATTTTACTTGCTATGTAGGGATTTGTAACAATCCATATAGTAACCAGGCTACACCTTAGCAGCTCCAAACCAGGAAAAATTACAAAGTAAAAACTTCAAACAACCTAAAACCACAATATACAAAGCAAACACTGTGATGTTTTGTACAAATAAATAATGTTTATCCCTGCAACATGTCATAGCCCAGAAAAAACCGCAGATGCTATTATTGCCAAGCATTTTTCATGAATCATATGTTTCATTATATTTTACCTTCAGAAGTAAAAAATTCCAGGCTCAAACATTCTAATTAAGTTTAACTCAGAACATTATACTAGCAGCTATCCTGTCCAAAACCAGTTGTCTTAATTATAATTGATTGCCATCAAGTGAGGGTAGCATTGCTTCAAAAATATTGGCTTGGGGGTGGATGAAAAATAAAGCCATTACAGAGTGTAAATTTAGGGGATGCCCAGATGGAGCATTTGTTCTGTGAAATTTACTGATTAGTCCCTGAAGTTTCCATTCCCCCCCTCTGCACCATCATGACATGATTATCCCTTATACCGATTTTGCTGAACACACTCTCTGTGTTGTTTTGTGTGTTTCCACTTTGTTGCACTTGCATTCTAAACCACACACCCTTTTTTTTCCTTTTTAAAAATAGCTCAGTTCCTATACCTTACAGCAGGATGGTGGCGGTATGATTTTGTGCCACAGCACTTCCTCTATTTGAAAACAGCAAATACAAATTGAAATTTAAACACTAACATTGGCAAAGGTGATGGTAGTGGCAGCTATTGTCATTCACAGTCAATGTTTTATGCTTTTAGAGTGCAAAACCTTTCCTATTCATAAAAAGCTGTGGATTGTTCTAAAATAAATGGGTGTGCCTCAACCCTCGATTGCTTTGCTGTATAACCTATTTGTAAGAAAAAGCTACAGTGAGGACAGAATATTATGAAACAAGTGGTTTCCGATGTATTTTATTTCTCCCTCTGTTAAATCTCTATGCAGACCATATTGCACTGAAAGCTGGCTCAGATTCAGATGAAAGAGGAGTGAAAAATGATGGAAACTTGGAAGGGCGGCTCTTAAGGAACCAGAAAAGTCCATTAAGTGTAAAGATGTGTCATTGGAAAACAAGGCCAAGATCATCAAAACTACTGCATGTCCAATTCCTATGTACAGTTGCAAAAGCTAAGACAGTGAAGAAAGCCAACCAGGAAAAAAAAATTCATCTGAAATATGGTGCTAGAGAAGAACTTTAGGGACACCTTGGACCACCAGAAAGGCAATATAAGTATGTTCTAGATCAAGTCAAGCGTGGACACTCCTTAAGACGCAAAAGTTCGAGCACACCCATGAGACTACAAAATTTGCTGAAAGAGATCATGTTGTAGTTTACTCGACTCTTCGTGACCCCATGGACCAGAGCACGCCAGGTGCTCCTGTCTTCCACTGCCTCCCAGAGTTGGGTCAAATTCATGTTGGTCGCTGCGATGACCCTGTCCAACCATCTCATCCTCTGTCGTCCCCTTCTCCTCTTGCCCTCACACTTTCCCAACATGAGGGTCTTTTCCAGGGAGTTTTGTCTTCTCATGAGATGGCCAACATATTGGAGCCTCAGCTTCAGGATCTGTCCTTCCAGTGAGATCATAACGCTAGGAAAAGTCGAAGGCAACAGGAACAGAGGGAGACCAACTAGGAGATGGATCCACGCCACACAGCCTCGAGTTTGCAAAGAGCTGAACAAGGGCTGTTACGGCAGGACATTGGGGTCACTCTTTCATAGGGTCACCTTGGGTCGGAAGCCACCTGAGGGCACATAACAATGGTGCTTTTGCCATTGTTCATGGTGCTCTAACACGTATAGGACAGGCTGTCATTCACTGGGTGCGTACGTGCGCAGGCAGGCATCCAGAAAACGACGGCCTTCCCCCCCCCTCGTCTTTATCTCCCCTCACAGAACTGACAGTTAAGGCAGCTGCGCGCGCCTTCGCCCCTCCCCCGCCTGAGAAGTCGGTAGGAAAAAAACTGCGCGGAAATGGGGGGGGAAACGGAGAGCGAAAAAAAGACGTCTTCTCATTGGCCAATGGCAGAGCGTTGCCATCACCCTGAAACCACAAACACGAACCCTTTTGAACCAGAGAGGCCTGGAGAGGGAGGGTCCCCTTTGTCCAATCAGCGTCCCCCTTTTCCGGACCAATCACCACGCAGAGATTTGGGCGGACTTTTCAAAAACAATTTTTCCCCTCTTGCTGGTCCCTTTAAAGGAGTGGTTCGACCTAGTGTCGCTCCGCTATTAATATTTTTTCAGACGGTAGGGAAAAACAAAAGCGAAGGAGGCTCTGTCTTCCCTCTTCTTGGTGAGAGGCATCTTCCTCCAACGCTCGTTAGGGCCGGTGTGAACAATTCCACCACAGAATTAAGAGAAAAAGAGGGGGATTCTATTTTTTAACCCTTGAAGGGTAACCGCATCACTCTGCCGTGGATCCTTCCGCTCGTCTATTTGAGCAGCGAAGTGGAGGGACTGGGAGGAGGACGTGGATCCTTCCGCTCGTCTATTTGAGCAGCGAAGTGGAAGGACAGGGAGGGGGGAAGGAAACAAAACAAAGGCGGCGGGTCATGTGATTCAAGAGGAGGGGGCGGAGCCGGGGCCGCTGCCACTCTTGCTAAGCCGGACTCCATTTTGATGGTCCTCTGAAGCCTCTCGGAGTCGGTCGCCCCGTCCAAGCGTCCGGGGCCGACGAAGAGAGGGGGGAAAAAGAGAGCAATGGTGCTCCTCTTGCGCTGACTCCCGGCGGGGGAAGGACGGGGGAAGATCGGGGTTTGGAGGGCGAGGTGGCTTGAATGCGGGGCCCGTGGGCTCGGGAAGGACGAGGCGCTGCTGCTGCCGTTGTTGTTGTTGTTATTGGGACCGGCCGCCTCCCATCGCTCCAGCCCCCGACCTTCCTCCTCCTTCTCCTCCGGCTCTTCCTTTGATCCGAGCAACAAAAGATAGCTTTTCCCTCCGCTTCTGAGGAGAGGTGAGTCCCGAGCCGAGGTTACGGATTTGGCGGGGCTGGGGAAATTATGGGTTTGCGGCAGGATCGGGACCATCCCAAGGTTTGGGGCGGCGGCGGAGGATGTAGGAATGGGTAATATTTGGGGGGTCGGGGAGGAATCCCGGATGCTGGCGCCACTGGGTTGCTCATGAAACAAAGCCCAGTTACTTAAGGCAGTGCTTCCCGAGCCAGATTTTGGGCTGAAAACCCTAATTTGGGGGGGGGAGCCTTATGATGGGGGCGGCACCCGTAACACCCCATTGAATTTTATGTGGGGAACGGTTTGGGCATAACTGATCGACCGTGAAGGGGATTTGACTTTGAAAGGGAGTAGTAGAACAATGGCTGTAAGAATCCCGTTTTGCTCCTTCTGATGGTCTTTCTGCCTTCTCGTTAAAATCTAGTGTGGTTTCGTCTTGGGGACGTAAAAGGAAGGCCGCTGTTTTTCTTACATGAAGGTGAGGGGGGGCTTGTCGGTTCAGTGGGGCTGCAACACAGGGTGGCTCATTGCGCATGCGCTTAACTCGCCCCCTTTAGGGAGTTGACAAAAGGGGGGGAATCGAAGGAGAGCCCCCTTTGAAAGGCTTGTGTGGCTTTTGTGCAGGTGGAGGTGGGAGGCCTCCAGATGAGAAAGAATATCATCTCCTGTGAGATGACGTGACAGGTTAACTCTGATGGAAGGAGGTGAGCGATCACCGGAAGGAGATAGGGCAGCTCTTTCCCATCCCTGCCTTCCAGGTGTGGAGGATGACAGTGCCCATCGTCCCCAACAAAGCAGTTAAGGATGATGGGAGTCCTAAGAGGGCATCAGGTGGAGGAAAGCTGGCATGGAGAAGGAAGCATCCAAAGCCCCTTTGGAGAGAATCTTTATGTATGGCAGGCAGGTGGAGAGTGAGCAGAGCCTTGTTCCTGCAAAAGTTTGTGTGATCAGACAGAGTTTGTTTGCAAATATGCTTTTGGTTAGCTGGTCTTGATGCTTCTCAGAAATGGGAGAAGTCCTACCTTGGATCAGAGATCACTTCCCTCCAGGAATTTGGGATGGAGGGGAGGAGGAGGACCATTTAAGTGAATGAAGGAGAGATAAGGGAATGAGGACTGGGGAATGGAGACACTGGGATAAGCAGGATTGGATCAGGGTGTTTACTGAATGGGGAGAACCAGACTTGATTTACGGCAATGTTGGTGGTGAGGGTGGGAAGGAAAAACTAGGAAGTGAAAGAGTGATTTGGGGTGAGCTCAAAGAGTGAGGAAGCAAAGAAAGCTGCAACTGGTGTAATTTGCTAAAGGGGGCTATTGAAAAGTAATTGGCAACTCTTGTGTATTAGAGCAGTATCAGCCATTGTAATCGTCTTTTGTGTATGTATTAAATAGCATATTCTTTGCCTTTGGGTTGTAGCAGAGTCATTTTATATGCTGTGGAAATTTATTTATTTATTTTATTAGATTTTTAATTTGCTAAAGGGGGCTATTGAAAAGTATTTCACATCTGTTGTTTATTAAGAGACTTATGTTAGAGCAGTATCAGCCATTGTAATCATCTTTTGTGTATGTATTCAATAGCATATTCTTTGCCTTTGGGTTGGCGCAGAGTCATTTTATATGCTCTGGAAATTTATTTATTTTATTAGATTTTTATCCCGCCCATCTAGACCAAGGGTCTACTCTCTTGGCTCAGGAGCAAAATAGATGATGTAGTCTTGCTGGGTTTTTTCCCCCTGTCTCAGTTCCTTAAGCATTTTGTTATTTGAAGACTAAATAAGATAAAGCTTTGCAAGTCATATGATTAATAGAAGTTGGGATTTAAACCAATCTGCACTTCTGACACTAAATAATAACCTGTATGCAGGAGGGGTGGGAAGGAATGCGGATATTACAAAGGGAATGGGAGCAGTCAGAGCAGGCTGTTGTACGGCTGTAGTCATGCTGGGATCACTGGTAAACTGTGAATATAATGTTTGCTTTGACAGGTTAGGTGGGAGGATTACTTACTGACCTGGCCCATGAAATTTCCTGTTAGTTGAGCAACTGGTTGCTATGTGTGTTTACTCAAAAAAAAACAAGCTCTCTGTTTTGATCACTTTCAGAGTAAATGTGCAGGAGACAGTGACTAGCTCGCTATATGTGTTCTGCTGCTGCCCCCATCAGGAAGCTGCTGCCATTGTGTGTACGTGACACAGACACACAGCCCTTCTAAAGGCCCCACTTCTTCCCTCGCCTGCAACAGCTGCTCTGTCAACCAGTCAGTGTAAAAGGATAGGAGGTAATCTTGCCGTGTCCTTTGAACAAAGGAAAAAAGGTTCAACGGTGTCAGAGTCCTTGCCCCCTCAATTTTTCTTGCTACACAAAAATAATAATAAAATAAATCAAACGTTGGATTTGTCAGCAGTTCAACTCTATCTCTAATTATAAAGTTTCTTATTCTTTACACAGGCTAGCAGTACATTTGATATATTGCCATTTGACTGGATGTTGTAAGACAACTTTTCGACTTTTACTGTGGCTATAAATGTGACCCTCCCGCCTGAGAATGTTTCTCTTTCTTTTTCATTCTTGAAGATGAAGGACACTGGCGTTGAGGAACAGATGAACAGTTGGCTCTTCAAGCAACTGAAACTCCATCTGGAGCAGGAATGGAAATACCAACCTCGAGAAAAAGGGCTGAGCCTAATTGAGTGTACTGCTGAGGTGAGGAAATGCTGCTTCCTGGGGCAGTCATGTGATCAAGACCAGTCATGGTAATATAGTTGCTGAGGAAATCACCAAAAAGTTAGGTTTTTCTTTGTGTAGTTAGAGCAGAGGGCTGGTTAGATAGCTCAATGAGTTTGGTATCTAGTTGTCGAGTCAAAGGTTGAGAGTTCAATTTCCGACTGTTCTTCCTAAAAGAGCCAGCCTGTGTGGCCTTGGGCAAGCTGCAGAGCTCTAGCATGCCCCCAGAAGAAGGGAATGGTAAACCACTTCTCAGTATTCTCTACCTTGAAAACCCTGAAAAGGATAGCTATGAATCAAAATTGACAGCACACAACTAATATTAATTAGAGCAGAAAGCTATTGGTGTTACAACTGATAGCAACTTTTGGGTTTTCAGATAACTTCATGGTCCATGGACAAGTTCTCATTCCCTGGTATATGTACTGCCAGCAAGCCAAAGAAACAATGTACATGAGATGCAAAGTTATAAAAATTACTAAGGTGTCACTCTCCTTTAAAAATGTAATGTCCTGACTCCTGCCACTCATCCAACTTTTTGGTAATCCAGTAATAAATTCAGACACTTGTTTTTTCTTCCTTCCCAATTTACCATAAGTGATAAATATATTAATACACCTATGAATGTGAATCCCTTGCCTTGGAAAAAAGTGGAGAGTGTTTTTGTTTGTTTGCTTATTTGTGTGTTTCTGTCATGATGGGATTCTGGTCCTTAACCACTGGTCTGGAGCAGCCTTTTCCTTACCTGGTGCCTTCCAGTTGTTTTGAATTACACATCCTGCAAGTTCTAGCCAGCATGGCTAGACTGAAATAACATTGACTGAAATGTTTAGAGTGGGCCCATTGAATCAGTGGGAATTTAGTGAGTCAAATTTTTCATAAGTTTCATTGATTCAAATGGGCTTAGTCTAATTGCACCTTATCAAACTAAAGTAAGTGACAGCTGAAAAGACTTATCTGAATCGGTGGAGCTTACAGAGCAATCGACTTGCCAGATTCCCATTGATCTAGTTGGCCTGCTCTAGTTGTGACACACTATCCTAAGCAACAGGATTTTGGCTACTTTGTTGCTGAACTATGTACAGTGGTGCCTCGCTTACGATCGCTTCGTTTAACGACGAAATCGTATTACGATGAACTTTTTGCGATCGCAAAATGATGTTTTCTATGGGGGAATTTCCCTTTGCAATGATCGGTTCCCTGCTTCAGGAATCGATTCTTTGCAAAATGACGATTTTCCAACAGCTGATCTGCGGTTTCAAAATGGCCAGCGGGTAAATAAAATGGCTCCCCGTTGTGTTTAGGGACGGATTCCTCACAAGACAGGCAGTGAAAATGGCCACCCTATGGAGGATCTTCGCTGGACGGTGAGTTTTAAGCCCATCGGAACGCATTAAACAGGTTTTAATGCGTTTCTATGGGATTTTTAATTTTGCTTTGCGATGTTTTCGTTCTGCAGCGATTTCGCTGGAACGAATTAACATCGTAATGCGCGGCACCACTGTACTGTATTTTTCCATGTACTGTATAAGACACACCCCACTTTTCTAACCTAAAATCTAAGTGGGGCTTAGCAAGTGTAGGGAGAAAGTGATCAAAGCATTGCAGGATGGTTTTGATCCCTGCTTTCTCCCTTTGTGCTAAGCCCCGCGGGGCTTAGCAAAAGGAGGGAGAAGGATCAAAGCAATCCTGCAACTACGTAATCATTTTGATCCCTTTCCCCCTTATACAGCCATGGGATTGCTTTGATCCTTTCCCCCTACACTTGCTAAGCCCTATGGGACTTAGTAAGCAGAGGGGAAAACCATCCTGAAGCGCTTTGATCCCTGTTTTCCCCTCCACTTGGTTTTTCTCTCCTCAGCTTACTTCTGTGTATAAGATGACCCTCAAATGTTAGTCTAAAGGTTTTAGACAAAAGTATAGTCTTATACATGGAAAAATACGGTATTTTCAGCAAATGTGTGAGTTATAGTTTGGTTGACTACCTGATTAAGTGATATGAGCCTAGAGTAACAACCACACTTTTTTCCTTCCCTCACACAATGGCTTTGACAGTTCTATCCTGGTTTATTCAAAGCACAGTTCCAGATAGATTCAACCTGGGAAGCTATATGTATAACCACAGTATGAATGCAGGACTACCTCTGACCTGGAAAACTGAGTAAATTGTAAAGAAAGGATCTTGTCGCATCTCATTCTGAAAAGTGCTTACGTTTTATGAAGGGTGATTATTTATTAATTTAGGCAAAACGAGCTTTCAACATTGGGCATGATCCAGCCAAAATTAAGCTGTATTAGGTCTTGCTCATCTTGACAACAAAGATTAAAGCTTATGTTTGCTCTTCAAGCACAAGCCATGTTTAACTTTGACTGGGTGTTTTTACTAATCATTGCCTGTAGTCATTTAAAACAGGGATGGACAAAGTACAGCCTTCTAGATGTACTGGATTGCAGCTCTCAGCATTCTTCATCATTAGTTCTGCTTGCTGGGCATGCTGGGAGGTGCAGTCTTTCAGTTCTGACTCATGGTGACCTTTTCCAGGGCTTTCTAGGTAGAGAGTACTCAAGTGGTTTTCCATTCCCTTCTTCTGGGGGCACTTGGAGGCTGTGCAGCTTGCCCAAGACCATACCGGCTGGCTCTGGTCCCGGGAGGCCCTGTTGGAAATCAAACTGCCAATCTCTGGTCCACAGCTAGATAGCTAACAAGGTTTTCTTAAGGAATGCTGTGGATTTGAGAGCAGCTGGATAGCATTCTGCTGATGCTTTTACTGAGGAGGTGGTACTTGCCAGGTTGTTCCTTTTAGTGAGGCCAGCCCAAGGCACTGAGTGACCTTACCATAGATTAGCCTCCTTTCTGAAATAAGACGCGATTGACTCATCTCCGGACAAGGTGTTTGGGTGTGATGGTAAGCAGAGGCTGGGAAGGGTTCTGGCCCCTGGAAAACTTATTAAGGATGAAAAAAATGTCAAATTATATTGTTTCAAAATATATAGATTGTCTTCTAAGACCTTACCGTCCAAAGTCTAGCAGTTACTATTAAGGTACTGTTTTTCTTTCGATAGAATGAAAACACCTTATGTCCCAGACTGAGGAATGCAAAAGTGGAAGACCTCTGGAGTCTGACCAACTTCTTTGGGTTTTCCACAGAAACATTCGTCCTGGCCGTCAACATTCTGGACAGATTCCTTGCACTTATGAAGGTATCTAGGAGCAGAAGGAATTCAATTGTGTCCATATCATGTAAACTCTCTGTCATTTTTACAGTTTTGGACTACATCAAATTGATAGTCCCAGTTAGAATGGACTTGTTCTTATACATTGAAATTTCCTGAGTGTTGATTTTCCAAGTTTCCATTGTTTGAGTGGCTCTGCTCTAGTTGAGATTAATCACTGGATGTAGGACACTGACACTTGTTTTGGATTTTCAGGTTATATATCTGGAACAAGTCCATGATAAACTGATTTCAAAGTTACATTTATGACAGATTACAAGTTTAGTAAATGTATGTGAGATGTTTGGAGTATCTCAACATTTCATCCATTTTTACCAGTCCTCGGCTTTTTCCCCAAAAGATGAACCATGACTATGTTATCCTTTTTAATGTCATCTACTGATTTTTTTTTCCTGATTGCCAGCAGGGGGCACAGAGCACTTAGAATTATGTTCTGGCCTTCCCACGGCTGAGCCTCGTTTTCTGATGTTAGGGTCTTATTTTACGAGTCAACACAATTTTTAAATGCTCCTATTTGTTCATAATATTTCTATGCCACATTTCTCCTACACGACCCAAGGCAGCTTAAAGTAATAAAAGAAACAAAGTTAAAAAACAAATGACAAATTATTACAATAGTAAAAAAAAAATTAAACAAGTGTCTTGTAACTCATAATAAGAGCAAGATTAAAAATAGAAGTAAAACACTTAAAGGAAAGCCTGCCTGAAGAGAAAGGTCTCCCATCTACTTAAGGGAGGACAGCAAAGAGGAAGCCAGTTTGGCCTCCCATGGGAGGGAGTTCCAGAGTCTGGGAGCAGGCACCGAGAAGGCCCTCTCCTGTGTCCCCACCAAATGCACCTATAAAGGTGGTAAGGCCAAGATATAAAGGCCTCTCCTGATGATCTTAATGCCCGGGTAGGCTCATAAAGGGAGACGATAGATCATTTGGCATCCAGTGGACCTTTTCATAATCGTCCTTTCGTTCTCCCTAGGTGAAACCCAAGCATTTGTCCTGCATTGGAGTTTGCTGTTTTCAGCTGGCTGCCCAGGTGGTCGAAGAGGAATGCAACATTCCGTCCCTCCATGATGTCATTCGGATCAGCCAATGTAAATGCACTGCCTCTGACCTGAAGCGGATGGAGAAAATAATCTCAGAAAAGCTGCACTTTGACTTCAAAGCTACTACTGCCTTAACCTTTTTGCACTTGTACCATACTATTGTACTCTGTCATACCTCAGAAAGGTATGTGTTGAATCAATCTCCATTCATGGTTTCAGTAGATTCACCTTCAAGTCCTTGCTTTCCTATCTTGGTCTTGATGATTTGAAGCAACTGCAGGCCTTCTGGTGCTTGTTGACATATTTTTGTATAATGTCTATTCTGGCATGGTAGGATTAGACAATATGGCCAAGCTTTGGGGGTGGGGGGCAGTGCTTAAATCCACTTTTAAACGTGAGTGAACTTGTACCCCCACAGCTATAATTTATCTTCTGTATCCCCCTGCATGTCCCCTTCTCTGTTCTGGAGGATCTCCCAACCGACCAGAGCAGATGTGTGGAACTGTAATGCTGCTGATTTAGTCTGCTAGTGTTAACTATTCTGTTAGCACAATTATATTGCTGAATAAGATAGACTAATCTCTATATAGAATGAGTGGGGCAACTGTGATGTGTAAAGAGTTAGGAAGACTGATTGGACTATTCTACAATTTGTTTTGTGACAGCTTATTTATTTATTTACTTAACTTACCTTTGTGGACGATTTGTTAAAAAATCCAAATGAGTGGGGCAACTGTGATGTGTAAAAATTAGGAAGACTGATTGGACTATTCTACAATTTATTTTGTGACAGCTTGCTTATTTATTTATTTACTTAACTTACAGCCCTACTATTCTAGATGGTTGGCAAGCCATTAAAACCAAACTTAGCAAACAATAGCACTAAATCACAACACAAATAGCCGCAACAAAGCATAAAAACCTGTGGCACAAAGATTTTCATAATAGAGCTGCTTGCTTTTTTTATAGTAGGGTTTTTTGTGAAAGTGTTTGCTTCTTGTTTCATTATAGAAAAGAATTGTTGAACCTTGACAAACTGGAAGCACAACTTAAAGCTTGCAACTGCCGACTTGTCTTTTCAAAAGCAAAAGTAAGTCTTGGAGATGGGCTTCTCAGCAGGTGAACGTTGGCATCTAGTAATGAATCACTGAGCTGAACATGGTTTTGTGTACTTTCAGCCATCCATCTTGGCTCTGTGCCTTCTCTCTTTGGAAGTGCAGACTCTGAAATCCATGGAACTGTTTGAGATTGTTCTATATGTGCAGAAGCATTCAAAGGTAAGAGATAAAACTGTAACGTTTCCCCTTGAAATAAGACAGGTTCTTATATTAAGTTTTGCTTCAAAAACGCATTAGGGCTTATTTTCAGGGGATGTTTTAATTTTTTCATGTACAACAATTCTAAATTTATTCATATACTGTCATGTTACCTTCTTTTGGTTGCTGCACAAGGGTGGAGGGCAGGCTTTCACTTAACTACAACTTAATTTTTGAGTAGGGCTTATGTTATGAGCATCCTGAAAAATCATGCTAGGGCTTATTTTCAGGTTAGGTGTTACTTTTGTGGAAACAGGGTACTGTACTTTATTTCTCTTATGCCTGGCAGTCTTAATGCTGTCTACAGAATGCCTTTCTTGAAACGGTAATGGGATTCTTCAAGTAACGCCGTTCCCATGTACAAATGTGAGGTAGATTCCCAAAGTCAGGTGGTCAGATCTTTCCATCAGTGTTGTTCAGACAGCCTCCAGATGTTTTAGAAAAAATATAATAAGAACTTGTAAAGTAAGAAGTTCCCATTATAACTTACCTTGTGCAGGGCAACCTCCAGAGTGCAATTCTGCTGAGTCTTATTTAAACACAATTCCACTGAAATCCATGTACAGTGGTGCCTCGCTTGACAATGTTAATTCGTTCCAGCAAAATCGCTGTAGAGCGGAAACATCGTCAAATGAAACGAAAAAACCTATTGAAACGCATTGAAAACCGTTCAGTGTGTTCCAATGGGCTGAATACATGCTCGTCCAGCAAAGATCCTCCATACGGCGGCCATTTTCAGTCCCTGTAAAGCGAGGAATCAGTCCTAGAAAACAGCGGGGGGGGCATTTTCTTCAGCCAGCAGCCATTTTGAAACCCGACGATCAGCTGTTTGCTGATTGTCATAAAGCAAAAATCGGTTCCCAAAGCAGGGAACCGATCATCATTAAACAAAAAAAAACCCATTTAAAATTTGTTTTTGCGATCGAAAAACCTAATCGTATAGCAATTTCCTCGTTAAGTGAGGCACCACTGTACTGTTTCAAGCAAATGTGTACCATCTGGTGCACCTTCCGTCTGTGCTCTCTGTGTTTATTTTGAAATAATGCTATGTGTGTGATTTATGCAGAGGTCAGTGTGGCTAATGTAGTACACATTTGTAGCAGAGTTCTTTTTCTTGAAAGATTAAATCAAGATGTGTTTTTTTTTAATTAGATAAGTGACAGCGACTTAATCTATTGGAGAGATCTGGTCTCGAAATGCTTAGCAGATTACTCTTCCCCAGCCTGCTGCAAGCCAGACCATAAAAAGCTAGTTTGGATTGTTTCAAGACGCACTGCCCAGAATCTTCAAAACAGCTACTACAGTGTTCCTGAGTTGCCCACAATCCCTGAGGTTGGATGCTTTGATGGAAGTGAGAGGTAAGTAAAACCACACTGGGTTTTCTCTGACTAACTGGCCATGTTGAAATAATAACAGCTGATGTGACGGAATCATATCTTTTTCTGAGAGCTGTAATTTAAGGATTTGTAATGGCCATCATATTTTACCAGTCTTGTTAGTATTTTTAAAAGATAGAGTGCCATTCGTTTAATTTGAAAAATGATGGGTAGCAGAATCCATAACCTGGATTGTATTATGTATGTACAAGGTACCTTATATTTGTTCATGGGGCTAGAGGAAGCAGTAGTAAACAAGTGCATTTAGTCTCTTTAGTCTCATTAGTCTCTTCACAAGCTTTTAGCTTCAGGGTACGATAGCATTGGCTTTACTGGCTGAGGGATCCGAGAGTTGATGTCCAAAACATCTGGAGGATCAAAGTTTGGGAACTATTTCTTTAAAACAATTGTAGGTTGGTGTCAGTTTCTCTTCCACAGTGTTCCCCCAGTGAATTCTAAATCTGCAGAATAGCTATACATACTAACAGCTAATTAACTAAGCCATCTTAAGTGATCCTGAGTATGTACTCTTGCTTAAGCAACTTTTGAGGTTCTTGCAGGATCAGATAAAGCTTCAGTCTAATGTCCCATATCAGGAATCTCAGGAACCAGCTGGTGCTAGGTGTGGTCCACAAGGAATTTGTCAGGGGATCAGAGTCTTTTGGCTTCATTCCGTCTTCTAAATACATGGGGCCAGTGAGTAGGAAAGAATCTGCTCCCAGCTGCTCCGTAGTTTAAATAGATGACAGATGCATGCATGTCTGCCCTTCACATGTATATGCTGGAGGTATCTATTCAAGTTCAGAACATCTGCTTGAAAAGCTGTCCTGTATGACTGGGCATGTCTTGGCCCATCACACATTTTAAGGCTGTGAGCTCAAGTGGTACCGTTGGATTTAATAAATATTGCCCAAGTGTTCCCCTCCAAAAAAAAGTTTGCAGCTGCTGTTACTATTAGTTGAAGTTATACTCCGTTGCTGGTTCTGAAGCAAAGATTCGTCTGGCGAACTGTCCCTTTTAAGATAGTGTTGGCTACATCCAACATGTATGCATGTATGCGCACTCTTTTTGCAGTAGCTGTGCGGTCTTGTCTCTTGTTTAACTGAGGAAAACCTTGGTTAGCAGATAGTTCTACAGGAGTAGTCTGTAAATAGCCTGGTGTCCAATAATGAATGTGGCTACTCAGTGAACAATTTGGAAAGGTGTTCTCTGCTGCAGAGATTTTTGAGAAAACCACCTTATCCATCATTTCAGTCTGAGGAAAATATATGTACTTTGGGTTAGCTAGTTTGTTTTGATGCACCAGCTTGTGCCTTAGCTGGTGTAAGGCCAGGAAAATTAATGCCCTGAAATTGTTCTACTCTTCTGGCATGTGGAGGAATAGATTGTTTTGCCTTTTAGCTGTCATTTCATTTGTTTACTGAGCTGGAGGTTGTGATGATTGCTTTTTCTACAGCAAGCACAGAGTCTAAGATAGCTGGTAGAGTAAGGACCAACTGGTCTGTCCCTTCTTAATCAGCCCACTCAGTTGACTTCATGAAATTCCTTGTCCCCTTGAATGGCCAACCAAATAGGTAAACACAAAGCTGGCACAGGAGACCAAGGTGTGGCATTGTGTTGAAAGTGCTGGATCTTAATGGAATTAAGGTTTTATAATCTTTTGTAGTACTTGCATAAAATGTGAAGCCAATCACTAGTTCAAAAATTCTGAAATCTTTACAGAGCCAGTAACAAAATTGTGTCTGAAAATGTTATTGATATATATATGATTGCCTGCAAACCTTGATGGAAACTGACAGGGTGTAATAAATGCTAAGATGTTGGTATAGTAGTGTAAATAATGCAGTCTGCACGCAAATATGAGTTCGGACATTATCACACTTAGTGGCTGTTTTAGTTTAACGTAAAATCTTCCTTCATATCTGCCTTTTAAGGATTGTTGCCATCATTGATGTTTTATATCTTGCCATCTTTTCTAGTGAAGACTCTTCTGAAGATATGAGCTGTGGAGAAGAGAGCCTTAGCAGTTCTCCGAGTGACCTGGAAGGCACTTTCTTCTTTGACCTCAAACCAAAATCAAAATGGCAGCCTCTCACCTTCGATCCGGTGTGCTAGATTGAGCTTTGGATGCTTTATAGTACTTTAGGCAATAACTAAGCACTCTTTACCCGTGGAGTACTCAAAACATGTATTGCGCTTTCCCCTTTCACCCAACAAGTGTAGCAAGCTGGAATCAAGCATTAAGGCCTTTACTCAGCAAGATGTGTTAGCAAGTGTACATTACCTGCAAGCAGGCTAAAAGATAGATGTAAAGCTGGATATGGGCGTCAAATGTTTTTCTGAAACTGATGGTTGATTCTTTATGGTTAAATATTTTTGGGATGAGTTACATTGCAAAGAAGTATATGCTTATTTCTTTTTAGGGCTGAAGTCTTTAACCAGAACATGTTGTGCATTCTATTAATGAAAGAACTCTCATCCCTTTAAACCTCTGTTCATTTTCAGAAGCTTACCAAATCAGGCATATGCATAGATCACGCAGGAAAGGATCACCCATTCCTTTAAGTGCACACCAATTTGGTTAAAATGTCACAAAGTTCAGATTCAAATTGGGAATGAAGCAAGTTCAGGAATCTTTAATAGTAATTTTTAAAAATTCAATTAGAAATGTAAAGCCTGCACCATACTCCTTTTAATTACTAACTCCCATAGTTAATTTATGTATGTTTTACATTGTCGTAAGTAAATCCATAATAACATGTTTGCATGCTTAAATGAAAGCTGTTAGCAGAAAGGCAATTGATTATACAAACGTGTTGGTAAATGTGAAGTGGATTTTAATGGTTGTAACGACACTTAATTGCTTGCCTTTTTTTCCCCTTAAAGCACACACTTTATGGTTACTTTACTTAGTATCTTCACAATATATGCAAAATGAACAAAAGAAGGCATTTATTCTCTGATCTAATGATGTGAAAGCAATACCGTGGTAGAAATGAAGGGGCAAGGAAATGTAGGATTGTGGTGTTGTGTGGCCATCTTGTCTAGGCCAAGGTGCAGATGTGGATGATGGTGGTATGTGGTGTGCTGATTTTTATAAAGAAAAAAAGTTTACAAAAATATGTAAAAATGTAAATTAAAACCTGTATAAAAATTTAAAAACAAAATAAGCTGAAAAAATATTGTATTTTTACAGTGTGTATGTAACTTTCTATGTTGCATGTAGATATTAATTTATTGTATCCTGTACATGATATAAATACTGTACATTGAAGGCTTGCTTTTTTTGGTACCACACGCCTGAGTGTTGAGACATTTTCTGAAAGCTATTTTCTCTCAAAGATAACTCAGATGATCTCTGCTTCAGTTCAATAAAAACAAATGCATTTCCTATCTTGGTCTGCCATGATTTTTTGCAAGGGTGGTAGAAGTGTGTAGGCATCCTTCAGTCTCGAGAGACTATGGTAATGTGCTCTCTATGGAGGACTTGGAACAGCATCTAGTGTGGCTGAGAAGGTCAATTGGAGAGTGACAATCCCTTCCACACTGAAGACAAATGCAATCTGTCCCCTGTCCAGCTCCCTGATTTTGCTGTTTTTGGGACTGCCTCTTTGCTTTAGCCTGCTGGACAAGGGTTTATTCAAATTGGAAGAGGCCATGCTTCACCGCCTGCTTCCAGGCTGAATGCTCAGATGTCAAGGTTCCCCATATCTGTTGAGGTCCATTCCTAAGGCCTTCAGATCCTGCTTGTGGATATCCTTGTATGGCAGCTGTGGTCTCCCTCTGGGGTGATTTCCCTACACTAATTCTCCATACAGGAGATCTTTTGGAATCTGACCGTCAGCCATTCTCATGAAGTGCCTGAGCCAATGTAGACATCGCTGTTTCAGTAATGTATACATGCTAAAAATTCCAGCTTGTTCTAGGACTACTCTATTTGGAACTTTGTCCTACCAGGCGATACTAAAAATGCGTCAGAGACAATGCATATGGAGCGTGTTCAGCTTCCTCCTGCCAAGCACAAAGGGTCCAGGACTCACTGCAGGACAGTAGTGTGCTCAGGACACAGGCTCTATAGACCTGGATTTTGGTGTATGCCGTCAGCTTCTTATTAAGCCATACTCTGAGTCTAGAGAACATGGTACAGTCAACCCTCAACTTCCGAAGGTTCTAGATATGAACTTTTCGATTTATGAACAGCTCAGTTGGCAAAAATTTGCATTGACTTTTGAACGGAGCTCGACCTACGAACGAGGTTGAGGCTCCGTTGGCAAGTCAATGCCATTTTTTGGTAACAGCGCCATTCGTAAATGGCCCCCCTGCCTTTTTGCCTTCAGAGCTCTCAAAGGGCTTTCTCCATGTTGTTGGGGGAAGGGGGAGCCCTTTGAGAGCTCCAAAGGTGACAACATCTTGCAAAAGTCCGAATAGTCAAAGCTATGTTTTTTCCTATAGCGATATACGGAAGTGAGAGCTGGACCATAAAGAAAGCTGACCGCCGAAGAATTGATGCTTTTGAATTGTGGTGCTGGAGGAGACTCTTGAGAGTCCCCTGGACCACAAGGAGAACAAGCCTATCCATTCTGAAGTAAATCAACCCTGAGTGCTCACTGGAAGGACACATCCTGAAGCTGAGGCTCCAGTACTTTGGCCATCTCAGGAGAAGAGAAGGCTCCCTGGAAAAGACCCTGATGTAGGGAAAGTGTGAAGGCTGGAGGAGAAGGGGACGACAGAGGACAAGATGGTTGGACAGTGTCATCGAAGCGACCAACATGAATTTGACCCAACTCTGGGAGTCCTGGCGTGCTCTGGTCCATGGGGTCACGAAGAGTCGGACACGACTTAATGACTAAACAACAACAACAAAGGTGCCATATGGTTCCCCTTAGAAGGGTGACAGACTTTTCACTGAGTAGAAAACCAGTTTAGATGTTTAGCCTCTAGGTGGTGCCATCTCTGCTACTGGGCAGGTCCATCAGTTGTTGATCAAAAAGTGATGGTTTGCAGCAGCGGTCTCCAATGTTTTTGGGATTGCGGACCAGCTGGGCCCCTGAAGAAGGCGGGGCACCCCCCAACGCGTATGCAAAGCAGTTGTGTGGAGGGGAGTGCGTGCCGGGGGGGCGGGAGGTCTGTCTCCACGTCCCGGTCTGGCTCAGGCCACTGACCGAGGGTTGATGACCTCTGGTTTACAGAATGCTGTAAACCAGACCTTAGAATCATCTTAGAACTGCAGGGTTGGAAGGGATCCTATAGATCATCAAGTCCAGCCCCTGTCAGGAAGGCATAGTGGGGAATTGGACCCCCAACCTCTGACTCCGATCATCAAGATCAAAACCACTGAGCTGTCCAGCAGCTCAGTAACATCGGAGATGCATTCTGTAATCTAATAAAGTTTCAGGAAATTTCTGGTCTTCCACAGTCCTTTTTTTTTGGGGGGGGGGAGTTACAATTCATTGTCCAATCCATTCATAGTTTAAAGTGGCATTAAATTGTCCTTAATCCAAAATCCACAAATGGGTAACACCTTTACACCTTTGTGAGGACTACAAACATCCAAAATATGCACATTTTCAAGCTCTCCAGAACTTTTCATCAGGCTCTAGACAGTAAAATATGGGGAAGGGGAGAAGATGCATGGAAGTCCCTTGGTTCCTCTAAATGTCCTGAGCCGCAGAGATCAGCAATTAAAATTAATTCCAAAATGGAAAGTAGAGGCAAAGAGGCAGTCCCGAAAGCAGCCAAATCAGGGAGCTGGACAGGGGACAGATTGTATTTGTCTTCAGTGTGGAAGGGATGGTCACTCTCGAATTGGCCTTTTCAGCCACACTAGACGCTGTTCCAAGTCCTCCATACAGAGCACGTTACCCTAGTCTCTCAAGACTGATGCCTACAGTACTATCCTCAGACCTGAGTGAAATATGTTGGACCTTGCTTGTCCTCAGCATCTTAAAGATGAGAGGCCTCCTATAAAAAGAACTGGCAAAGCTGTTTCAGTATCATATATGGCCCTTTCCCTTTTATCCTTCCAAAACAAAAAAAGCTAAAGACCTATCTCTTCAGGCAGGCTTTTAACAATCACAACTCAATCCCTGAACCTCATTTTAGCAGATAATTTCAATCTTTCCATGTTTTAATATTTAAATTTGATTTTAAATCATATATTGTTTAATTTGTCTTTTAATATTTAATTTATTGTAGTTTTAATTGTGTGAATTTTAATGTTGTGAGCCGCTTTGGGCCCCTTGTTGGGAGAATTGCAGCATACAAATAAAAATAAAAATAATAATTACATTGCATACCCCAGATTTTTCAAGAGCAAAGCACTTGAATCCATGGGTCACATCCCTTTGCATCTTTCAAATTTATTTTTATAAATGTAATTTTATAAAGAAATAAATATATTTATTTATGAAACAAATTGGTTGCAACAGGCTATCCCATAAGTGTCATTAGCAATGGCAGGTAATTCTGCCATTGCTAATGACCCTTATGGGATATTCCGGCTGTGACCAATGTGTTCCAAAATATATATCACAGAATTAAATAGACACTAACCATCTGGCAGCTAACCACTTTTTTCCCCTACAGCCTCTTCTCATCTCCCATTTGCACTGTTAAAACCTTTCTGCTGATCCTCCCTTATTTGTTGGTATTCTTGTAAATCCCCTTCCATAGAGTCACATTCTTTAGAAATAGCAATCTTTGAAGCCTTGCCCACCCCCATCTTACAATAGAGAAGAAGCACATGGCCCTTTTTTCTATGCAAAACATGCACAACAAAATGCCACGTTTGCATAATAAATAAATAGGGCAAACAAAAGGGAAATAGAAAAAGCTTCTGCTTCAGTTTACCAAATGTGCCCCTAAAGTAACTGGGAATTGCTTCAGAAGTTTTCCTGGCCCAGTTCTGTATTCAAAACAGCAAGTGGTGAGGGACTACCCCTGTTAAAAGCTATTTTTGTACCAAACCAGCCATGATATTTAACTTTTCAATTAAGAAAACAGCAGCCCAGGGATTGGGGAGCTGGAAAGAAATCACCTTTCTGGAATCACACCTGCATTTTATGGAATTTTTCCAGTGGTGCTAGTGTTCTGTTTACCTTTGCTTTTTTGACTCTTGCCTGCCCAAAGTTCAGATGAAGATAAAAATCCATATTTCTTTTGTCTCGCTTCCTGTTAGCAGATTTTGAAAACCATGTTCTCAGAAAAGCTGCTTTCTAACCCGAAAAACGTAAGTGTGGGCACAATAAGAAATCCTTCTTTCAAACTATCGTAGTTTGCGACTACATTATCAAATATTGCAGGATTTGTTGTGGGTTTTTGTATGGGTCAATTCAAACTGTATTTTTTTTTCTGATCACACAATGAAAAAGGCTGATTCGAATACCTCCAGCCCTTTTTGCTCCCAACATATTTTTTTTTCCCTCGGCCATTGAGAATTTCTTTATTCAAGGTGGAACAATTTGAACTAGCTTTTTCTCGTCTAGTCGGTTGACTTGTCCTTGTCAAGATGACAGGCTGTGGTTGGAATTTCAGCAGCATTGGCAGTTCAGGAGTTTAGGAACCCCCACCTCTCACAACACATCAAGTGTGAACGCTGAAGTTCTGAATCAATCCGCAGCCCCTGTGTCATCACTGACTGAAAATTCAGTTGGCGTAAAGACTGTGAATCAAATAGCAGAATAGTTCCAACCTTTGTTCCTTTCAAAGGCTTCCATTTGGCTTCTATTACCCCTCCCTAATATGGTGCTTCAGTTTACCGAGTGTGCCCCCAAAGTAACTGGGAATTGGTTTAGAAGTTTTCCCGGCTGAGTTCTGTATTCAAAGCAGCAAGGGGTGAGGGACAACCACTTTGACCAAACTCCGGATTTGATCAAACTCTGGGAGGCAGTGGAAGACAAGAGGGCCTGGTGTGCTCTGGTCCATGGGGTCACGAAGAGTCGGACACGACTAAACGACTAAAAACAACAATATGGTGCCCTCCAGAGGTATTTGACATTGGCCAGGATGGCTAGCAGTGATGAAGATTCTAAGTAAATACATCTAGAGGCCACAGATTGGACTACACGCTAGCTTCCCATAAAAAAGGAACACTCAAGAAAATTTGTTGCCTGAAGCAGGAGAACAGATGTCTTTTCATCCTCAAGTTTAGGGACACAGTACCCAGGACAGAGGCAGAAGATCCCAGAAAAGGGTTTCCCCAAGGATTGTTGTTGTTGTTGTTGTTTAGTCATTAAGTCGTGTCCAACTCTTCGTGACTCTATGGACCAGAGCACGCCAGGCCCTCCTGTCTTCCACGGCCTCCCGGGAGTTGGGTCAAAATTATATGTACACCAGTCTCTTAATACTTGGCGAATTCTGTTGTGCCCCATATAAATCAATGGGGAGCTCCCAGG